CCCAGGTGCAGGACCCTGCACTTGTCCTTGTTGAACCTCAGGAGGTTCCTCTCTGCCCAACTCTCCAGCCTGTCCAGGTCCCTCTGGATGGCAGCRMAGCCRTCCGGAGTGTCGGCCACTCCACCCAGCTTGGTGTCATCTGCAAACTTGCTCAGGGTGCATTCCGTGCCCTCGTCCAGTTGCTACTCAGTAAAACCTGCCTGGTTTTGSAGCTTAGGAGAACACTTTGGGGTTGGCAGTTGCTAACAACGCAGACACAAGTGATGCTGGATAGGCCCCTGTTCCACCGATCCATATCCTGCAAGCACAAAACTGCCGGAGCTGGCTCCCTGCCAAACCCCCCCGCGCCCAGCCACACACCTTGTAGGACAGCTGCCGTGGAACCTCAAGGCTCAAGCCGCAGCCTGTAAAAGGTTACTGAATACTAAAATATTAAAGTCTGTATTTACACTGGAAGTTAAACCTAAGCATGGAAAAAAAAAATTAGTTTGTATCAATATAGTTAGATTGTGCATAAAGGAAGATCTTTGCCCCCTCCTCTCCTTCAGGGGGAAACAACATGCGAGTAGTTAGTTAGGGACAGAACAGCGGGCCTTGCTGCCTGCAAGGCTCCTCACAGGCACGATCAATATGTATTTGTGCACCACAACGGCAGGCGCCTGCGTAGTGAACCTCGACAGGCTGCAGTCACTGCCGGCGCGGCCAGCCGGGCCCGGACAGCAGCGGCCGGGGCGGCTCCCGTCAAGTTCCCTCCCGGAGGCCTCCGCTGCTGCACGGCCCTCGGCGCTGCCGCCCGCCCCTACAGCCTGCGTGTCACAAAACGCATTCACTGCCCCGGGAAAGGAAGAGCACACACTTCTCCAGGGACGTTCTCCAGGGAAAGCAGGAGGTAGGAATTCTCACTGGGGCTGCATATGATGGTCGTCACTCCTTCATCCCCAACAACTCTGGGCCTGTGTCCTGTGCCGTGAGGCCAGGGCGAAGCTTCCTYGTACACCGGCAACCGCAGCCAAGCRGCTCCCCAGGCGTTCCCTGCCCCGGCTGGCTGCTGTTCCCTGCTCTCTGGCGGTAGGGAACGGCTCCCGCCGGCACCACCTGCGGGGCACCAACGGCTGCTGCACACAAACTCACAGCAGGGTTAGTTTCCACGGACGTGACTCCCACAAACAAGGCTAGATTTACCTCAAGCAACTCAGCAGGGCTGCGCAATGTTTTATCACTCRAGTGCGTTAGATGTGCCCCCAAATGTGACCTGCTAGAAAGCCAAGGAATGTGAGCACGGCTGGGGAACAGCTCTGCAGAGAGGGACCACAGAGTTCCGGTGGGCAACAACTTAACCATGAGGCAGCAGTGCCCTCGTGGCCAAGAAGGCTGAAAGGGGATCTGACCAGTACCTACAAGTACCTGAGGGGAGAGTGTAGGGAGGAAGGGGCCRAACTCTCACTGGTGGCACAGTGAGAGTGTGAGTGGTGGCACTCTCACAGGACAAGGGGCAGTGGGTACAAGTTGAAGCACAGGCAGTCCCACCTCCATGTGAGGAARAGCTTCTTCCCTKTGGGGGTGCCAGAGCCCTGGCACAGGCTGCCCARGGAGGCTGTGGAGTCTCCTWCTCTGGAGATCTTCCCAATCCGCCTGGATGCYGCCCTGTGCCCCGTGCTCTGGGTGTCCCTGCTGRAGCAGRGRGTTGGACTRGRTGATCTCTAGAGGTCCCTTCCAACCTCAACCAGTCTGTGAATCTTTGTTTTGTTTTACTGCAGGCTACCGGTTTTTCTTTCAGAGCAAAAYTGTGGTTGCCAGCAGGCAGGGTCCTTACAATTTCATGTGGATACTGCTCAAAATCCCCTGTGCGGCGGGGCGGGCAGCACGCGCGGCACCGAGCGCCACCGGGCAGCACCGCGAGGGCACCGGGCAGCACCGGGGCCGGGCGCACGGGCAGCCGGCCCCGAGCGCACAGCCGGCCCCGAGCGCAGAGCCGGCCCCGAGCGCAGAGCCGGCCGGCTCGACAAGAGGCCCAAGGATCCCTCCAACACGGCCGCTCCTGCCACCGCCGCACGCTCAACGCCCGGACAGCAACTGTGAAAACATGAAAGGCTGTGACCATGAGAACAAGAAGCACAAACAACGCAGCAGGACAACTGAACACATTTGTGTGTAGTTTATTCCCAGTGTGGGCTCATCCSTCCTCTCAAATTAACCTGCAGTAACATCTGTGTGGGGCACAGGACTCGTTTGTCCACAGACTCCTGAAGGACACAGGGGAAAAGCTACCCTGGCTCTACCCTAAGGCCCTGTTTTCAGCTTTAAGAGCCGCTGCAAGTTCCCTGCTTGTTTCCGAAGTAAGCAGAACGCAACCTAACTGAGCTCAAGGTGATGTGGTTTTCTATGTTCTCTAGTTCTTGTAAAAACAGACAAAACAGCAATATACAAACACAACAGTTAACATACCACTGGAAAGCAGTCCCACTTTTGCTCCCAGACATCTAGAATAACCAAACAGCCATCTGCTTGATCTGTGGTCACAAGACACTACCAGATGAGACTCTAGATGAAGGTTATCACAGTGAGATGTCTTTTACACCACGCACTTTTTTTTGGCGGGGAGAAAAGCATCAAGTCTGTACAGAAAAAGTACATAGTGTCACTGGGTAACCCAAACAAGAGAGATCTCACTGAGCTGCTCTGGATCACAGACAGCTTCAAAAAGCAAGAGACAACTGTGGCGAGCAGTGCTTCAGCATAACATCAACTTATCAGAGCAAGTACAAACTGCCACACTGTAATAAAAACAAGGCTCAGGACAACAAACAGAGGGCTGCTAAGAAAGAGGAACACACTAAACACGCGTACAAGGCAAACACGGGACCAAGCTATCTGAAGGGCAGGACGTGACCGCCCTTCACTGGGTCACTGCTCAGCCTCAAGGCAAGGACCCCAGGTTCGCAGACAGGGCTCCTCTGCCTGCGGGAAGGCGCCTGGAGGGAATCTGGCCTCTCCCCGGGGTCTCAAGGCAAGAGGCCAATGCTCTCATCCTCGGAGGTCTCGGTGAAGAGAACTGAAGGCTCGGYGAAGCCTCCTTCAACGCGCAGTTTCCTCAGAAATTAACTGCTTTCCTAGGGCACTCATTAAACACAYTGATTTTCAAAGGCTGCAATCTCCCAAACTGCCACACTGTAGACAAAGCATATGAGAAAGTGAACTTTATTAAAAACCAGTGCATGTGTGAGCACATTCTTTCCATACTAACCTCTTTAACACCTTTTACAGTCACACTTCCACTTCCCGGTCAGAAAGGCAGAATAAGGAGCCGGGTCCGAGTGCAAAGGGCTCCTTCCAAGCCAGGGCGGAGGCRCCAAAGCAGGGGCTGCCACCAGCCAAGCCGGGAGCTGCCTGGGGGCTCCAGCCGCTGCAGAGCCCCCGATTCCTCTCACTGAGTCCCTCCTGGCTCACCGAGTCCCACGTCGGCTCTAGTTGAAGATCCCAGGGTCGACATAAGGGTATGCGAGAAATTCCCCCAGTTTGTTGCCTTCCACGTCATAGTGGAGCATTCGAAAACAGACATCGCAGAAGAAACAAGGATCCTCTGGTGCCAGGCTGTCTTGGTTGGTCACCCACCTGCAGGTGGCAAAATACAAGTGTTTTCCACAGAACAGACACAAGAGAAACACTTTACTGAAAGCCAGACACAGGAGCATCAGCCGCAGAGCAGAGCAGATTGGATCCCACCCGTCCTGAYGCCTCTTCCCGAACCCCACTCCCAGTCTGTGTCCATCCCAACACAGAGGCTTTTCCATGAACTCCTCAAACCCRGCTGCTACCAGAGTACCAAACAGAAGAGTTCCCTGGATGCTCCCATCCACCCTGCTGTAATCAAAGCCATCCGAGATGCATCTGGCTCCCCTCAAAGAAGAACCTGTGGTAGGGAACAGATGGGTGAGCATGCTGCGCCCGAGCCGGGCGCACGCGGAAGCCGAGGGGGCAGGAACACTGAGCGAGCAGTGAAGCGCACACAGGCGCACACACGTGTGCGCACACACACACACACAGGCGCACACAGAGCCCGCCGCGCAAGGGGGCCGCCACGTCCCCAGACACCCTGTGGCAGCGCGCAGGGACTGGGCGGCTCCAGGCCTCGCTCACTGGAGACACTCTCTGCACAGGGTAGGGCTGCAGGACAGGCAGCCAATGCAGCTCTGCCTAGGCGCGGTTTAGCAGCCCCTCACACAGGCTCCGTGCCGAACCCCAGCTTTGGTTTAACACATTCACATCACGCCGGCAGGCACTGCCCGTGCCCCCAGACCTGCTCCAGCTCCTCGCACGGCCACGCGCCGCAGTGCGCGCAGGCACCTCGGCACCCACCACCACGGAACACGGTTCCCTGCCCGGATCCAGGCATGCCAAGGCCAAGAGAGCGGGATAAAAGAGCATGACCGTCCCGGCAGACTAGGCTGGAGTGCAAGCTGCCCTGCAGGAAGAGGGTCATCGGGCGCCCCTGGCTGTAAGTTATCTAGAACAGAGCGGAACCAGGGAGCCTGGATAAGCCCGAAGGATCCGAGTTTCTCACTGCCAAACACCAGGAGAGGGAGAGCACATGGTTCCCTTTCTGCACTCCTAACCGCAGGAGATCTGCCGTGCAGGAGCAGGCTGCTCGTGGCAGCCACCGTGCACCACTGTGCACCTCCGAGCTCCTTCACTGCCTGGCCCAGGGGTCACCAACTCCCACCAAGGAAGGGGGGAAGCTACAGGTCCTACAAAACAACACAGCAAAAATGACAGGTTTCAAGTTGCACAGGTCCAAGCTCCCCTCTATATATAYACTGGGTTTCATAAAAGGCTTCTGGCAGAGGAATTTGAATCATACATCCCGTCAGCAGGGAAAATGGAGCATTTTCTCCCAAGGAGCAACATTTTCTAAAGTAAGAAACTGACCATGAGCCTAGCTCTGTGTACGCAGAGAAAACCCCCCCCCCCCTTTTTTTTTTTGAATCATCCCAAGCCATCTCACAGTTAATACTTTCAGCAAGAGGCACTTTCCAGGGCTAAGGGTGGAGAACCAGCCTGAAAATCTGACTATTAAATCAGCTTGAGATCATATTCTGACATTAAAAATTTGGGGTAGAGGTTATTTGCTTATCATATTGGAAATCTACAGAGCTTTCATTTTCTAAGTTAGTAGAGGCACCAGAAAGATTTTGTAAAGAAGACATCTTAGAAGGAYATAGCATACCTGGCTGTGTACATTTTGCATACAAAGCACTTTCTAGTACATAACCAGTGCTTCTTTATCAGCAAGGGATACAGGTTCCTGTCTAGGCAGTCATCRTGGTGAATAAGCCTTGGGGGAAAAATAAAAGACAAAATAAAGATACAGCCACATTTGAATTAATCTGAACATATGTACAGGCATCAAAGACAAAAGCATGATTTAGTGCAAACTATGACGACTCTTCTGTTTGGTATCTCCTAACAGAGATAACATCCCAGAGCTCTGACTGTTACATCCTCAGATTTTATAATGAGGAACAAATTTAATTTGTATTAGTAACTCAGAAGTAGGCAGAACACCTACTTCGGGCATTCAAGCAAGATAGAATTCAGAGCACTTAAACTTTAAACTTGCATCTCCTACACAGACTAACAGTACATATGCAAAACTAGGACAATGTTTAGAGGGTCATAATTCGGAGATCATCTCCCCGTGACACCTATGCCTTATTTTGGCCGTGCTCATCTTTGGRAGTGCCCAGGAGCCAGCGGTGCTGCCAGCACAGTGCTCCACAACCAGCCTGCGGATGTGCCACGTACTTGCTTTGCACAGAACGTGCTTTCACATTGGCACTATCCTCCCCAAACTGCACTCATCCCATGCTAGTTGGAAAGCAGTACTTTTATACCAAACAAATTACAATGTTTATACAAAAAAAGGGCAAGAAAGATCACTATTTTCTGCCAAGACAGTCACATGTGTACATAATCAAATCTGTTATAAAGTCTGCAGAACGCAGCTGGATAACCTTCACGTTATTCTAACAATTTTTCAACACAATGTCTGAACTTCTTTCACAGAAGGCCTGCCTTCAGTGACCAGAGGCCTCTCACAAAGCAGCAGCTTACCTTATATCTGTGATAATGACAATGTGCTCACAATTCCCTTGGTGGCAGAAAAGGTAGGGAAAGCCAATTCTGAGTGACAAATCATTAAATGTGTAATCTTCCATCTTTGCAGACTGAAGGTTTCCGTAGCCTCTGTCGTGAGATTCTGACCACTCRATGATTGTTCTGAAAGGGAAGGAAAGGAAGGCCACGTTGTAAAAACATGTGTGTGATAACAATCTTTTCCGTGAGGGTTATTATCACTCATGACAGAAAGAGGAGGAGGAGCAAAATCACGCGTTGCTCCCAGCCATACACCAAGTCCAGGAACCCGGCACCAGGTTCAAACACAGGGCTCTCCCGCTCCGCCTCTTCTAACATCTCCATTGCCTACATCTCACCAGCCTGTCAAAAAGCCCATAGCTCCTAACAATATATGGTAGCAGGAGCTACAGCTCCAAATACATGAAATCCTGGACTCTCCTGAATGACCTCTCAGATTTTTTCTTCTCAGTGGTCARTCTCCTTGCTGACTTCACATGAGGACATTTAGCACATTCTTTAGACTGAGGAAAATAACAGCCCTACACAGTACAGAGTTGACCTCACAGGCAAGTTTTTTGGTGACCGTCATGGTGTCATTTAAAAAGCTAATATAGACTGGCTAGTGTCTTCCTCTCTGTAAACTCTTATCACAACAGAGCAAAACACTTCCTATTTTCRAAAAGGAAGGGGCAGTTAAAAAGTTAAAAATCAACATCTACTAAAAAATCTATTAACCGTTAACAGAAAGCCTATGAAGTCTACTCCAACTTCATATACTGTATTTACTAGTCCTAAAAACACCACAGATATATATATATATATTTTTTTTTTTAAAAAAAAAGGCTAGATTTTCCTTCTCTAACGGTTTCCTCTCATTAATGTATATATATCATACCTGCTAAGATCTCTGCACTCTGGGGATCTTTTATCATTATAAAAGATGCCTTCAAAATAAAAGAAGGCAGATTTGTAGAGATCCTGAAAGAGAAGGAGAGAGGAAGTGAAGTCCACATTAGTGTTATGCTAGACTAAACACTAAAAACATAACAAAAACATTCCAAGAATGTGCACTTCAGGTATCCAAATTACATTAAAAAAAATCATTCTTTAAGTTTATAGGAGAAGGTCTGCACCACTAGTTTTAGATGCTGGTGCCACAACAAGGTTGATGTTGTGCTTAAGCCAATATCTGTTTTATTGGTTCTCTCATTACTATTCCTATTCCCATTTACAGATTTCTATCAAAACACAAAAAAAATCGCAAGAATTAAGTGACTGTAAACCACAGTCCCCCTCAATGCCGCCCTGCAAAAAAAAAAAAAAAAAAAAAAGTCCACAAACGTTACACACAAGGACTCAAGGTCAGGTCACCACGTGCTGGGATTACAGGAAATTCTGGCTGGTTTGTCCCTTTCCACACTTTCTCCTACCAACCAGTGAAGCAAGGGAGCTTCCCTTGCTTCACCACATGGGAGCAAGTCCCTAGCTATTTCCATGTAAACAGGGCCACAATTCAAATTCAGCAGGTTGAATCAYCCCTTTTCCGGGGTCTCAAAAAGAATTCCACCATCTGTCAAAATGCATCCCTAATAACACAACTTTCACATGTAGACAGGGTGCTTGTACTCATCTTTTGTCTCAATGATAATTTGCATTTTATGGCACTCATCAGCAGTGCCTGGATGCATCTGACTCTGAATCATCTCAAGAAATGGAGTTAACCCTTTAGTATCCTCCATACATGCATTAAACTCTACAGTAGAGCCATCAGCTGTGTAGGCCTGTGTAATAATCTTGTATTAAAAAGCAGTTTCCTAGGCACCTGCAACCTCACAAAATATGAGACAACACAACCAAGTATGACTCTTTTCATCCATCTACACTGTTGCACAACAACATTCAGAGATTTGTCTTCTACTAAAACTAAAAACTAGAGACAAAATGTATTTTGAAATAATATTAACTATATGTACTTTTGGAACTTAAAAAAAGTTGCGAAACAGTAGCAAGAAGCAAAACAGTTTAACATGACATACAAAACAGAAAAAAAAAACATAAATACAGCTACAATTTAACTTCTAAAACAAAAGTCACTGGTAACCTAAGGCAAACATCTGTTTCCCATAATTTCTACTTTTTATTGCTGTTGTCAAAATAGTTTTATGGAAACAATTTTCCTTGGGAAAAGGCTGTGTTTTTAATACATGTAAATTTCACCTCTGAAATGTGCTCTTCCAAGTTCTTCATGATATACAGAAAGAATCTGTTTGGGTTTATTCCATAATTTCCTCAAGACTGAGGCTACCTTACAGAATATGTTATCAAACTAAACACAAGTCTTGCAGAGGGCTTTGCAAACATTTTAGATGAGGCAGGAAATGTCACCATTCACAGAATCTTAAAGCAAGGAGAAGCCTCAGAACAAGAAGTAAAAGCAAGCAAGAAACCATACTCTTTGATTATTGCATTTTGCTGAGGAAAAATAATAGTAAAAATACAGTAACTTGCATCACAAAAATGATATAGCCACAATGCAGATYCATCCTGAATAGGGAAAAGGGAAARTTGCCTTCCACAGCAACTAGAAGTAACTGGAAGTTTAGTGACATTGATTGAATCCATCCGGAACTATTTTAAAGGGGAATTTTTCTGTACAAACTGTTTCTTAGACGTTCTGCATATACTGTACATGCAGATTTATAATATATCAAGTGATGCTAAAATACATTTAGCACATGTAAATTTGAACTCCTAAAAACAGTTCCAAAATACAAATTTTCCCATATTTTCAATTGCATTTTGAAGAACAGAGCACTGTTTACCTCTGACAAAAACAACTTATCTGTTAAGTATATACCAGCACTTTAAAAAATGGTATTTTCTTTGATTATATGAAACAAACTTGAACAAACCTCTCAGCTGTGGAACTCAAGAGGATTTTGATCATGTTTGTCACCGATGTGCATGAAATCAGATCTTGACAGGATTATCTAACAAGGCAAGGTGGATCCAGGTTCTACACCTCCTCTCCAATTACAATATGTACAAGCTTACACAAAAGTGATGGCTACCATTAAGTAACCAACAGAAGAGAAACCAGGCAAATGACACAGATACTGCCTGGAGAAGATAAAGTAGCTTGTTTTCCCTTCCATCCCTACACAGTGACAGTTACCTCATTGGAGGTCCATAACTCAGAGGGATCGCTATATGTTCATTAAGTCAAAGCATACTGATGAGGCTCATCAGGAGGTACCTCATCAGGAGGTGTCTACCTGGAAGCAGCCTCTGTACACTAACCGTTTGCAGAGGAACAAAAAAGGCAGAGAAGAAACAGGCAACAGACAAGGGAACACGAATTATTTTACAGGCTGCAGACTGAGGAATCAGCAGACTAAACAATCAAATTAGAAAGCCCCAGCCAACTGGGTACTTAAGTACTAGACCAATTTATTCCTCATTAATATAGCTCAAATGTGCAAAGGGATCTTCTTCAGATTTGAGCTCTAAGGTGGCAAAAGCCAGAGCATGTAGAGCATGCAGACACTGTGGCCACAGGCTGAATTCGTGATCGTAGAGCACAGCACAGAGGCACCGTGTTAGGAATGCATTTTCCCCCAAGATTTGTTCAGACTCTACACTGTTACCCTCCTCTTAACTATAAACCCTAAACACTGCTGCACTCTGGCAGCTCCTTACCAACCTCTGAGGGTCACACAGTTTTGAGCTAATCAATGCTTAAAAGTTCCCCTGAACCTCAGACAATTGCCGCCTGCTAGAGGGAAAAGAAGGTCACAGGAAGCACTGTTATAAACTTCTTGGGAATTCCACTCAGGTATTTCCTGATGAATGGTGGCCAGAAACATGCCTTGAAGACATTTCTTCCTCTCAAGCCCTGCATAATCCTTCAGCCTGCAAGCAGGGATTCTCCCTTACACTTTTCCAGGGAATCCCAGTAATAGTAGTCTCTGCATAAAAGATCCAGGACCCAGCTTTGCACAGAAACAAAGGCTGATAAAAACAAACAAAAAAAGCATAACAGGAACATAAGTTAAACCTATTTACATAAACTAAAATTAAGAACAGCCTCTCTTACCCTCTACATTTCAGCTAACAAGGCACCTAATCTGTAAAAACAGGAACATGACACTTTTGCATACCTATATATGCCACCTGCACTGAGACCAGGGGCAACACTAGAAAGTAACTTTTGGTTGTCTCTTTTTGTTATCTAGGGTTAAATACCCTCTTCTGTGTAGTTCAGGAACACTAATCAGATCTAAATCTGCCTCTCAGACACTTAAATTATTCAGAAGTTGTTTTTCTGCTTGGAAAGTCTAATATACTTCTAGCTGCTTCTCCTTTGGACTGGAAGGAAGCAAATCCTACTAAATTACTATCCTGCTAAAACAACATGCAAATTTTATCACAAAGACTTTGCACATACCAAGCCAGCATCCCCCTGAAAGTTGTAAATTTAGAGTCATGGTTGAAGCTAACGACTACAATTAATACACACTGCTCAGCATCAACCCTTCATGGCAGGCCAGCCTTCATGTGGGTCAGAAAGCCAAATCTCAACCCTCTTTTACAACTCACATATTCTCTCTGCATAACCAGGGAGAGTTGAACCTTGAAACTCAGAACTAATCAACTAGTGTTTGACTAGACAGCAGTGGAAAGGTTTGTTCATACTCTTCCATTTACTTCTGCCCAAGAGAAAAGACTAACACTTGGGATGTCTTTYTATTTTCTTAAACAAGGAGGAGTGRTTTTTTCATGTTATAAACAAACTGGGTCCTTTCCATGGATCCACCCAAAAGGAACAGTAAGGGGAGAACACAGKGAATATGATCTCCATTATTCCTTTTGCTTAGCAACCACCTGCAAAGCAAAGTATGTAAGTTAATGTGAGATGGTGAACCTTTGGTTTTCTATTAATCCCCGCACTTTAGAGCATATTTCAACATAACTCTGTCCACAGACATATACTCACACAAGAACTTACTGCTACCAGCATTATTTTCCAGTGATAGCACTTGACACACCACCAAGGATGTTCAAAACGGGTCAGCATGGCAATGTTACCAGAAAATAGTTAGTTTTGGTGAAGCCCACAATCAAAGTCAAGCAACCTGAACTTAGTGCTGAAAAGGATGCCTCTCTCCCTCTCTTTGGTATGTTCTCCAATTTCCTTATTCATGCAGGGCTTTAAAAGTACAAGCTGTTACCTTGCTGATGTGCTCTGGTGCTTGATCTGGCTGACTGCTGAACTCGCCACCTATCTGGAGGTCACTAACGCAGGAGATAGAGTCTCTCAGCTCAGTGAGGTTCTGACTGCCMAGTACAAGGACCGTCTGATAGGGCTTGTGATCTTTATGCTACAGACAGAGTCGAAAACAATCAAACAAACAAGTAAGCACCAAGCAGTTCATCAGCTTCAAAAAAGAAACATAAACAACAGCAAAAAACCTTCAGAACTGCTCCTCAGGACCACTTGGAGTCATTGGCAGCACCACAAGACACAAGATCACAAACAGCATCTTGCTTCAGTCKTTTTTAGGACAATTAGGGAGTTTATTGAAGCCCAAAAGCTATATTCCCCACAAGAAAGTACAAAAAAGAGAGGAAGCTCAAGCAAACTTATTTCATATTCAGAAAGGGACTTTTATTTTTCATGTGTTACACATTTTGAGCCTCCTGTGAAATCAAGTAACGGCTGAGTAATTATTACAAGAATTTATTTCTGTATACCACTTACAGACAATGAAAGCCATATTCTAACATGAGCTTAAAAAGTTACCATCATTTAAAGGCTTTCTTTGTGTAATAACACATTCTTTCAGTGGTCTTAGTGATTTTAATGACTTGCATCCCCAAGYAACTAACTAAGTATGCAAACAGCATCAGAATACAATGCAGAGAATTCAGTACCAACCTTCTGAAATATGACAGGATAGAAGATATTCAGAGTCAAAAGCAGCTCTCCCTCCTCAACTAGATCTACTGGATCATCTGGTCTCTTTCCAATTGCATGAGACTCCTGCAAAAATAAAGATATGCATACACATCATACTGGCAACTGCTAATCTATCCCCTAGATAAAAGTTTGATAAACTCTGTTCTAATGTTTCCTTTTCAACTCTGTCTTTGGGTAGCCTTCTGAATTGACCACAGGCTAGCTCTTGGAGGATAGTGAGGTGATAAACTGCTACAATTACTCCATTCATCAGCTCTGGAGTAACTGAGTTATTTCCAGGAATCAGAGGCAGCTAGCCATGTCTCTGCCCTGGTGGAACCCAGCTGCAATCAATTTCTACTGCTTCACTTGGAAGCACCCTTTGGATGCTTTCACATCAAAAAGAGGATCACAACTCTGACCTAGAAACTAGCCACAKGGTGAGGTTATTAGAAGCTAATGCAACACTGTCTGCTACTAAAGAAGCTGGATCTAGTTCGAGGTCTCATTTTTTTCAACACCCAAACCCCAAATCCAGTACTGTCTGCCACAGAGCTATATTTCAGAAAAGAACTTAAAGCATTTGCATCCTACTTTGTTTAAGACATAGCTCCAGCTGTGAAGATGAGGGTGAGTACTTTTCTCTGACAGTAACAGTCTCCTATTATTTCAACAAGAGAGAATGCTGGTTGCAAAAAACACTTCTCACAAGCACAAAGTGTTCTTCAAACTTAAGAGCAGATGTGTGTACTGCTGTTTGGTATCAGTGCAGAAATGCAAGTACTCTATCCTTCTGCATCCCTTTCCTAGTGTGAACACATTCCAAGCTCACATTGGTTACTGTTCACATCTTATGTCATACAGCTTGACCATATCTCTGGCACAAAAATTGGACACCACAGCTTCCTTGAAGAAAGCGGTAATGTCCCCTATGATTGTTCTTTAGAAGTAGAAATAAGACGTTATTCACTGAAAACCTAAGCCTGGGACTCCAGACTGTTGAAATGTGATTGTACATGGCAGATCAGGAAACTATAAGGGAAAAGCATATAGCAGTCAAAAACGATGTCCTTCACTCTATTTCCACCTTTTACAGCAGTTTGTGTATTCCCCACTCAAGCCATGGACTTCAGGAACTGTGCATTTAAGAACTTTTTTTTTTATTTTATTTTTTTTTATCTAGGATATCTAACCTTACTGGTTTTGAAGACTTCTTAAAAAAACAACAAAATGATTTTTGAGGGGTTAATCACTTAACTCTTACCACAGAGTGGTTCAGAAACATGCAGCTCAGAATTAGGAAGTTACCATCAACATGCCTCTACTGTCTTCTTTTTTCAGCTCTGTAGAACCAAGACCACAACCATTTATACCTGACAGCTTAGATTCCAAAAGAGAACTCTAGGAGCAAAGACACAAGTATTTTGCCTAGTCCCACAGTATGTTCACCTTATATGTAGTATGCTGCACCCCCTATACACTGCTCTAGTAGTAAATAACTAGTAGAGCAGTAATGAACCAGAGTTCCTCCAAGCTACATTTAGCACAAATAGACTGTAAAAGAGGAGYTGCTGTCCCTAAAATGTTAGTGTGTACTATCTTTCTGTATGGTCTCTCTAATTCCTAATCATTACCTGCAACTCAGTCTCCATAAACAACATACAGATTCACAAGAAAGAGGGAGGGAGATAAAAAACAGGGGGAAAAAAAAAAAAAAGAGGGGGGAGGAGGTGGGGTAGAATTTTTAAAAGCAGCATCAATCAGAGGTTCTTTATTGGCTGCACTGAATGGTGGTGAATCCTCTCAGTTGACAGTAATCTTACCATCTCATAAGCAAGTGTCTCTTGTCTGCAAGCCCGATCTACAATTATGGTTTCTTCTCGCCTTTCTAGCGCCTTCTTTCTAATTCTGAAGGGCAGGAACACAGGGAAAAAAATACATTAAATAGCTTTACGCACTAACAGCTAATCTCTATGAAGATTTTCAAAGAGCAAAGCTTCTGTCAGTCCTAGCATGACAACAATGTTGTGATACTCTGGACTTGAAGTAAACCTGGTCCTCCCGGTTCTTCAAAGGGTCACACAAATTATTAGCCAGCCTTACAACATTTGTCCAGAAAAAMAATAAAACCTCATCCAAACAGGCTCTCCTAGAAAAAAAAATTGCTACTTATGAGGAATCTGTTTCAGTTATTTCTCTCAGTTTAGAGCTATTCAACTCCTGTTCAAATATAAAACAAGATGAAAAAAATACACCTTTCCAACCTCAAGGCATTGGTAATAAATACATTTAACCACTATATACYGAACTCACTTTAATTTCCAGCACAAGTCCTTTCATCCTGAGAACTTGCTGTAACTTTTCAATAACAACAAAACTGACCCTGATCACAGCCTTAGCACACACTATTTTACATTAATTGCAAAAGAACTGTAATTCAAGGCCAATAAAAGTGAGGTGGAAAAAAAAGGCTGAATTGGCCATGTTTAAGTACAGAGCTCAATAAGTAACATAGTTGTAACACGGCTCAAACTATGGAAAGGAACTGGTAAAATTAACGAATTCCACTAAGAATAGGGACAGATACAAAACTAGCTTGAACACAACTCACTCACTCCTAGTGATACTCCATGCCAGTAGAAGTAAGAGCTTAYAGTCTTGTAAAACCAGGCTTTTGGGGAATCTCCCTTATATCCTTTCGTGAAGTTCCCTTCACCATGCTCCAAATCTAGATGCCATTTCAGAGGCACCTAGCATCAGAACTCCCCAATGTCGTGTACTGAAAGATTCCCCAGGTCTTCCAGTATACAGCAACCACTTTGGAAAAACACAGTATATTCTGCACTTCTCACCAAAACATTCCTAAGTAATGTTAAAGCAGAAGGCTAATACCAATTATCCCATCAAGAGAAGGGGTTTTTGACCTCAGAGTATTTCTGGAAAACTGTTTCAGAAGGCACACTACTACCTTGAAAGTGACCTGTGATAAGCCACACTTTAGTTATTACATGGGTTTGTTTTTAAACCAGGGTTTTGATAGGATACCTTAACAACATACCGAAGAGTTAGTAGAGTGCTGTCTTCAGGAATCACTTCTGGGTCCTTTTCTTCATCAGGAGGCATCAACATATCAACACTAGAACAATGAACAAATCTTACATTAAACATTTTTCGTAATTATAATCAGTAAGATGCACAGAGCAAATTTTATCTTTACTTTGCATTCTGTCTCACCAAGCAGAACTCCTTACAAATGTGTAACCAGGCCAGTTCAAAACATGTGACAAACACATTCTATGTTGCAGAAACACTTGTCTCCCTCAAATCTAGCCTATCTACTGCAAATTTCTGATGATACATGGGAAAACAGATTAATCTGACAAAAGAAGCAGTAACCTCAKCAATCTGCACAGCAAGGTAGCACTCTTACTGGGTACAAACACAGCACAATAAGAATAGGCAAAGCCACTTCATTTGCAAATAAATTTACTAAGTTAAGACAATAATTTATACCATACTTTTAAAAATAAGACAAGGCTTATGCAAAAGTGACAGGACTAACCTTCCTTGTACCCTTGCACTTCCTTTTTTCACCTTCTGATCTTTTTTCTCCTTCTTGTTCACATGTTTGCACAGAACTCAACCAATACAAACTGAAACTAACTAGAATTTTTTAGCCCAGTGCAAATCACTGCACAATGTAGGAAGGGTGTGTAGAGCAACCTTTTGGCTGCAACAATAACCTAAAGTGACTATACCAACATCATTCTTAACGTGAATGAAGATGCAATTTAGAATTTTATTCCAAATGGAGAAACCTTTTAAGCTAGTTAAAAAAGGAGAATCAATCTTACTCTTAGATTCCCACTTGAGGAACTAAAGGCAGTTAATTAAACCCTAAATCAAGCACAAACCGAACTGTGCTGAAGAGTAACTAACAGAGCGGAGAGGCATGTGAGCACAGGGTACAGGGAGCAGACCCTTAGATGGGGCTACTAACCTCCATTCAGTGCAGATTAGTGATACGAACCAACAAATTAGTTCAGTAATGTGTAGCCCATGCTGGGTAATGGACCCACAGTACCCTGTTCTGTGGTCACCTGCCCCCCACCAGATCACTCACACTTTTTTATCTAAGTCTCCCTGCCCCTTCACTTCAGACCTGACATTTCGCAGGCATCTATGTTCATTTAAAGAGCAGCCGGTTATCTGCAGGATGTGAGAGTGTAAGTTACCTCCTGTAATGAAGCCTCACTTGCACCAAAGATGCGATTCCCCAGTTCACCGTATGCACTAGCAGCAGTGCTCCCTTGTCCTCTCCTTTCCATAGGGCACTGCCCTGGAGCGCACCTGACACTTCTGGCTGCACTACCTGCACAGTCCCACCACACTCCAGCCCTATGGTTTCCTAACAAGCAGCTCCAGGCAGGCACGATGCAACACAGAAGGTAGSATATTTGCCTCCCTGCCTTGCAAGGACAGAACTACAGCTGGGACAAGTCAAAACTCCCACTGGATCCTTGAGAAGCCCCACAGACTCTAGAGAAGCCAGACACAGAAAATTCTGTCTCTGGAAACTCAGAACTCTAAATGATTCACAGCCTTCTGTGCATGTAATAATTTATGCTCTACCTCATCATAACACAACATCAAACCCTTGGAAGGCTCTTTCCATAAGGTGCAGCAGTGTCCCTCCAGAGTAACCACTGAGGTCAACAGAACCACACCACTAACACTTGGTCTGTGACCCTGTGGTTTTCCAATTGAAAAATACATGCCAATCCCTTCTGAAACCAAGATGATGCATCGGTTTCTTACATGCAACACATTAAACTGTACATGACACAAAATCTGAAACCAGACATAACTCACTCCTGACAACCACAAGCACGGGATTCCATGGCGATCCTGCAGAGAACATCCTGTTAAAAACTACTAGTGTAAYCCCATAAACAACTACCAGTGTATTCAACTATGCAAAGGCAAAAAAAAAAAAAAAGGTAAAGATGTTAGCCAAAATACTTAACAGACACTAAGGTGAACTGTAAAAAACTGAGGAACTGTAAAAAAATGAGGAACAACATTTTATGGTTGGACTCAATCTTTAATGTCTTTTCAACCATAACAATTCTATGATTCTAACATTTGAAGGTCTCACTTGAGCAAAGAATGCAAAGAGAACTCTTCAAGCAAGAAGAATCATAGAATTGGATATTTTAAGGTWAGAAATAAATAAACTAAAGGCAAATTTGAGAAAAATTTGAACTAAGAAATAGACTGCTACTGAAGCATTTAATTACCATGACTTAACTTCTCTCAGAATAAGCACCCCAATCAACCTTCTCAGTTTTCAGAAACTTACTTAGAAGGTGCTTTAATATTTTGCCTTATGTTTCCCTGGTAAACAACAAATATAGCRTTTACATTACCCTTTATATTGCGTATATTTTAAGGGCAGTACTTTCATCACCTTTAAGACACTAATACTGCAAGACGCTAAATACTAATACGTTAAGACGCTAATGCTAGCTTAATGCAGCTTTATAACACATCCCTAGAGATATTTACAACTACCCCTTCTAATAAAACAAGAAGGTGAATTAGGGCTGAAGTGGAATAAAGTACCTGTAAACCTCACCTCCCTTGACCTGCCTAAAATCCACACTGATCTGAGCCTAAGCCTGTCCTACATGTATGCAACAAACCACTCAGAAGGCAAAAGAGAATAACAAGCAAACAGAACAACATTCTTACCAATTCAGACCCAAATGAGCAAATAAGGAATTTTTCTTAGTTTCCTGTATTCTGTTTTGTCTTCACAAAGGAAAAAAAGAAATCATTGCCTCAATCACAGCCTGTTGGGACATATAGCAAGTTCAACTTTATTTCTTCTCACTGGAAGATCCTTTATCAAGAACACTTCCATGTGTATTATGCCATATACATTCTAACCAAGACTTTCTATTCAAAAACTTAATCCTGACTTTAAGAAAGATTCCCATAATCCAGTGACATTGTTTTTTTAAAGCATATCCAAGGAGAACATCCACCATGTCSTATCTCTCTTCTGTCCAGGGGAAATCTGCTATAATTTGGCTGTAACTCACAGGCAAAAAATAAGCTTTTACATCAAGGATTCCTGCACTTCAGTGCACAGAAACCACATTCACATCAACACTAAATGTGACCCGGAGGCTCCATGGAACAGATCTTGGAATAGTGCAGAATAGTGCCACTGCTTCTAGGAAGAATACAGACAGCAYAGAACAGACAAGTGAAAGTGATCGGAGACAGTGATTTGAGACTGGGCTGTATAAAGAGAGATTCAGGAGACTAGGACTATTTAGCCTGAAAAGCAAAAGCACATGGAGATTAGGGATTGGGATTTCTAGCCTGCACGGGGGAAAGGTCACACCAGGATGTGTAGCTTTATCTTCATTCGCCTGCAAAGCCAGCAGGCAGCTGCCAGATGACCTGTTCATTCCTCCAATAGATCATCTATCATTTTTTTCTCCCCAAATCTTTTCATCAGACAGCACTTTTCACAACATACTCAACAGCAAGAATATACAGCAGACAAAGTGTAGCACAAACAGATGGAAGGAAGCAGAAGAGAAACTGAAGTGAGGGAAGCAAAGAGTAAACAAAGCAGAGAAAAATCAGACCAACATTCAAGCAAAAATAGCAACAGATATGATCAAGCAGCAGCATTACTAAAAAGAGTCAATTGCAGGAAAGGAGCAATCAGGGACTACACCTACCCTGAAGAACCTTATGGAATAATTCCCACAGTCGCTGCCACATCGGAATATCTACATCTTTTTTAACGTAAATGTCAGCCTCCGCTTTTAGCAAGCCTAGCAGTGGTAAAAAATGGAACAGCATACAACACAATCCCAGTCACCAGAACAGTGACAGCTGAAGACTAGTTTAGTTAATCTAGCATTAGAAGCACCAAGAACATGTGGTAAAATTTTTCCTCCAGGCAAGGCAAGAAAGGCAAGAAAAAAATCCAGCAAGTGGTGATTTCTTTCTGCCTTCTTCTGTACCTCTGAAAGTCTCAACTTCTGAATGGTTTATTAAGCTCTCACTATTGGAAACATCACTCTGCTGCAGGCTCAGTCACCGAATTCAGAGCTCTTAACCTTCTACTAGTACTTCTACTTGTTCCTTGCCTTATGTCAAAGCAATGTTATTTCCACTTCTTTCTCCTTCTCCTGMGGCATCATCATTATTTAAATAAATAACAATTATCAATCAAACTTTTTCCAGTGACATACTAAGTTTACTAACTTTATTATTACTGGCTTTGTCACAATATCATAATGTTGCTGCAATTCGGTCTGATGTATAATCATCCCATTGTTTGGGTTATAACTCTGAAAATATCTAGGAGGATGTATCCACAGCACAACATCTGCACCGCTTTGTATGTGTCATACACGTAGGCCACACAAGGAAAACTCATCAAGGAGAGCTCAATGTATGGTGTAACACTACCTACTGCACAGATTTTCATTTCTTGGTTCACATATAAGATTAAGCTTATTCTATGTGGTATGTGAAGGTGAAGAAGTTTCATCTTGTACTTGAAATATGCGGCAAACACTTCAGTGCCTTTGAGATGACAGTAGCCAAGGGGCAAACACACCCAAAACTACAGACAGCAGCAGCCTGCTGTGCCCTTCTTAGGAACGAGCTATACACAAACTACCAAATGAGATGCTTTCTGCAGGACTTTTGGGGCAAAACCTGGCTTTTCTTGCAGGTCGAGTAAGACGAGATGATTCCAACAGTTAATCTAATTTCTGCTTTAGCTTGTTAGCTCCTGTTGCTTTAGTCCCTGGACTGTTCTGCCCCTTCTTTGGCATTGGCCTGCCGCCCACCGCCGTGCAAAAAAAAAACAAGCCAAGGACACGCGGGAGCCAGGCTGGAACAGGACGAAGGTTTCCCTTCCCCAACCCTACCCCTGTGCAGGGATTTGGGGGGCAGCGGGGTGAGCGCGGGCCTCGCCGGCACAACCTAGAGCCGCCAAGGGGGCACAGGCCCGTGCGTGACCGCCCGCGGCCCCCCAGCCGCCTCCCGGCCCCTTCCCCTCTGGACACAGCGCGGAGGCGCGGGGGTGCCCACCTGCACACGGCGCGCAGCTCCGCCGCCGTCTCCGCCGCGCAGCCCAGCTCCGCCGCCACGGCCTCCTCATCATCATCATCATCCACATCCTCCTCCGCCTCCGCCGCCGCCGCCAGCGAGAGGTCGCGCGGCCGCAGGTGGCGCCGCCAGCAGCGCCGCAGGTCGCGCACGCGGAGGATCCGCGTGTAAAGCTCCGCCGCCTCG